ATTTCTTTCAGTCTTGCCTTAAAATTGGGTTGAGTGGTATGTTTATACAGCCTAGAACTTGGTCTGCCTCACAGAGGCGACGAGTCTCCCAGCTGTAGATGAGCAATTTAGCCAGTGCGGTACAGCCGCTAGCCTGGGGTCTTTAGCGTGCACCACGCAGTAGTGATACACGACCGCACGCCGGTACGATGCTCATCCAGATCGAAACGGGCAGGGGTGGGGATGGAACCCAGGATCCCTGGGTTCTGCAGCTCGAGCTTTCGCTCCACGTGTTTCGAGCTGGTGTGCCCTAGTATCGGTTGCAAGCTAACAAAAAACCGGAAATGCCTCTCAGAGGAAAATGTGATCCTACGCCGAGAAACGCCAGCCAATCGTTTTCATGACGTCATTAGACAGTTTTAGTATAACGTGGCTGGCTCTTACGTACGCAATACGCATTAGTATAGCGTACGCTAAAAACGACCCGCTCGGACCGATTTTAGTTGTGCGTTACGTTTCCGAGTGAACACCTCGCATGCTCTTGGTTAAATTTGCCAGAGTCGCAGAATTCCGCGTGCTTATAGCACAACCATGCTCCTGACCATGAATATCGCAAATGAAAACGTGTCCAATCATTTTATTCAAAGTCAAACCAAGCCGCAGCTGCCTCGTCCAGCGCGCTTTTCTGCGGGGTACAGAGGCTACGAGTACGGGTGCGTAGCCAAATTCGATCATAGAGCCACCGTCACTAGTCCCGTGGAAATGCCACCTTTCATCAATGCTATCGCGGAATGAAATCCATGACCTACTGAAGTCCAGTGCATAGCGAGAACTTCGGCGATTTCTTGAAGAGTCGTTCGTTCGTCGACGATGAACTGAGCGAATAGGGGGCAATTCTGTGGACGCCATATTTTAGGGTGCTGTTGAGAGCGCATGCTCAGAACGAGCTCACATTAATAGGCTGCTAAGACCGGCAATCTTGATGGTGCGGAATGCACGTTACAAAAGAACTGTGGAAGCTTGTCCTCCGCACGCGCTCAGCATTTGCGCACACGGCTATGGCCGCCAGTGAATACTCCCTATAGGCCTAGCGTCAAGCAGATCACAGCGTTGACGCACAATTCGAGCGGTGAGCACTTTCACTGTGCACTCTTTCAGCTGCACGGCGATCTGATTCGACCGCGGTACGTCCCGGAAAGAAGTGCCGCGCTGAACACCACGTTATTTTACCGTTCGCGTAACACAGAATGTAGAGAGCACCACGACGCCCTTGCTGCGCCAGTCAAGGTAACCGCCATCTTGAAACTGGCGCTCTCGTTGGGCCCGAGATCTCTCGAGAGCTTCCCGCAAGGCCCGCTAGCCCGCAACGCAACATCCCCAGCGTTGCGTGCGTACGCAATACGCTAGTCCTTCTACTGCGTTCTGAGCAAGCGCACTCACGATCCGCAATTTCCTTGCGTACGCAAAGCTATAGCGTACGGTCCACTAAAACTGTCTATTATTCCGTAAACCAATCGCAATCCATTTAAAAAAAAAAAAAAAAAAAAAAAAAAGCTCAACATGGCTGTTGGCACGCGACGCTAGTTTCTCGTGACAATTATTCTGCCTTTTTGCACCGTGTTTTACGTGCCCGAGGTTACGCCACGAAATCTTAGTGGTATCGGTTTGCGTTTGCAGCAGTTTTTGCGCGACAACGTGAGAATCCAGCGACGCTATCGCCAACGAAAATTTCGAAGCGGGCGCGAGGCTTAGCACTGCTGAGAGGTGAGAAGCTACGCCGGACATCGTCTGCTTCGTTGGATTTCTGTCGCCTCTGCCCCACGTTGCTACTCAACATAATACCGGCACCGCTGCTTCAATTCGCTGTGGTTTCCGCGGGGTGAGCTGAGAGTGCCGTGCTTATCAGTCGCAGGTGAGATCTGTATACCGTATATCTGTATATGTCGCGTCCGAACGTAAGCGTTCAGGATCATCATCAATCAATGTTTATTCACGTAAAGATGTACAAAAAAATGTCTGATTAGTCATCTGGATCTATAGCCTACATGGCTAGTAATGGATCCATTAAAAAAACATTCACATTTAAAACAATCCTATAGGCATTCACACAATCTATACATAGCTGCACAAATAATATAACTACTAGTACGGAGTTAACAGGGTGAGTTGTACACTTCAGATGAAATAAATCGTTTTAATGAGAGTACAAAATTTGTTGCTAGTTTTATATGACATGAAATGTTATTCCATATCTTCGCACCAATGAACGATATTAAGCGGCGCCCGTAAGCATTGTAAGTTATCGGCAAATTAAGGTTATTATAATGTACTTGTCGGGTTTCACGTTTTGGAAAATTGAATATAGAAGAGTGATATGGAGTATTCTGGGTTAAAATTCTTTGGACTCAAGTGGCAGTCTTATGGTCGCGAGCTAAGTTGATGGAGAGTATGTCTAATTCACTAAAAAGATGCTTAGCTGATGCATGTATAGGTGCTGCTGCTATTATCCTGATTGCCCTTCTTTGCAGAATGGTAACTCTCGCTAGATATCACGCGTAAGTGAAACCCCATGATTCAACACAATAGGTTAAATGAGTATGAAACACACCGAAGTAAATCATGCGTAATGTTTGTTTGCTAAAATGTTTCCGTGCTTTCACTAATGAAAAGCATCCGAAGGTTAATTTTTTACATAGCTCGTCAATGTGGGGAGCCCAGTGTAGTGTTGAATCTAGGGTAATTCCTAGGTATTTATAAGTGACAACTTGATCGATGTGTAAACCTCCTAGATGCAGGTTACATGTAAATGATTGTTGTTTCCGATCAGACGCGAAAACAATGAACTTAGTTTTTTTAATATTTAGCACCAGCTTGTTGCAATTAAACCAAGTTATCGTATTTTTCAAGTCGTTATTTGCTAGTAATTCGGCCTCTTCAAGAGAATGATGTGATACTAGTAAGGCTGTATCATCGGTGTATAAAACTGCTGCGGAATGTCTTAGGCAAGCTGCGTAATCATTGATGAAAAGAGAGAAAAGTATCGGTCCTAACACCGACCCCTGTGGTACACCAGTCTTCACTATCGCGGTTGTAGATTGATTATGGGAAATTTGTACAAATTGGGTGCGGTTTGTTAAGTAGCTACGAAAAAATTTGCCAGCTGGCCCTCGAAAACCGTAACGCTCAAGTTTTTGTAAAAGAATGTCGTGATTAACAGAATCGAAAGCTTTTTTTATATCGAGGAATATGCCTATAGTAGTTCTATTTTTGTTGAGGGAGGAATTGACTATTTCTGATACGGAGTGTACTGCTGTGCCTGTAGAGAAGTTTTTCCGAAAACCATGTTGATTAGCAACCAAAATGTTGTATTTCTCGACAAAGTTCATTATTCTCGCGGCAATTAGTTTTTCAAATAGTGTATTAATGCAGGACAGAATTGTAATCGGGCGATAATTAGCCAGGTCATTAGGGTCACCACTTTTGTAAATTGGTACTACTCGCCCAATCTTAAGTTTTTCTTGGTAAATTCACGATAGAAATGCCTGGTTAAACAGTTTTTGTAGTGGGTAGCACAGGATGTCAATGTTGTCTTTCAATAGGTTTACCGAGATTTCGTCGTGGCCCATAGCTTCGTTTGATAACATTTGTCTGGCAACGCCAACAATTTCGGCGGCTGTTATTTCTACGTAAACAAATGTATTAATGCATGGGCTAGGTAGGATAATTTTTGACGTTTCATCTGATACTGCAGCTGAGGATGTACCTATGCTAATGAAAAAGTCATTGAACATTGACACAAGGTGCGCTTGATCACAATTAAGAATGTTCAAATCTGGTAAAATGTTACATTGTTGAGAGGACTTCATTACAAGGTTAATTGTGCGCCATATTTCTTTGGAGCTACCGTTAGCTTTTGCAATACGGCTGCTAAAATATTCCTTTTTACGCTTCCGCATGGTGGATAGCGATAGGTTCCGTGCAACTCTAAACTTTTCCCTGTAATAGTCGTTGTCCTTGTTTTGCTTCATTTTGTTATACCAGTGTTCCTTGAGCCTAATTAACTTCAGTATCTCCTCGTTCATCCAGGGACAAATGGGAGAATAAAGCTGTGCTGCCCGGCGAGATACGAATTTGTGTGCTATACAACAAGATTTGAACAGTGTTGAAAAGGTATCATATGCATTGTTAGTGTCGGTAAAATTGATCTGAGAAAAGTTTGTCTCCTGAAGGGACCTTTTAGTTGCCTCGTAATTCCACCTTGATACACCATGGCCGACTGTGTTTTTTTTTTAAGGTTCTTTTCTGCATTGGGAGCGACAATAAAAGTAGGGAAATGATCTGCGACGTTTTCTGTTATAACCCCAGCTTTTACGGAGCTGTCTTCAAAATTGGAGAGTATACGATCTATTGTTGAACAAGACGTTAGTGTTACTCTTGTTGGATCTGTAATATGGTTCTGGAAGCCGTAAGATAGCAGGAGGTTCCGGTATTCTGTACTTGAGGGGTCTGTTATATTTATGTTGAAGTCACCACAGATAATCGCTTTGTTATTTTTGTTCGCAAGACGGTACAACACATCTTCCAGCTTTTCTAGGAATGCCCGAGTGTTTGATTCTGGCGGTCTGTATATTACACCAACAATGACTCCACAATCCAGTTCCGCAAACAGCATGTCATACAGGCCTGTTTTTGTCTCTGTCAAGTTTGGTAATATCTAATATATGGTTTGTGAAGATATGTATAATGCTACGCCACCACCTCTTCAACTAGCCAATCTTGGCAGGGATAAAAATCTATAATTAGGAATGTTCATAAATTCATCTTTTTTAAGCCTCGTCTCCGAGATTGCCACAACGTTGTACCGCTCATCCAGCCGCGTCAACAAAGCGACCAGTGGATCATAGTTTTTGTTTAAGCTCCTAACATTACAGTGTAGAAGGCTTATAGCTCCAGAGCTCGTACACGGCATGGTGCACGTCACACCGTTACGCATTTCTAGCTCGGTGTCTTGGTTTTTGAGGCTATGCTATCTTAGCCAGGTCATCTCGAGAAGCGATGTGAATGACATTCGAATTTTCTGCCTTCCTTGCTAGTATTTTTGACTGCGAGACCCACACAAATCTCCAGTTTTTTTCTTTCTTTCTAGCAATTGCCATGCCCAGCAAAGCTTTATATTCTGGACAGAGGTGCTCGTTAATATACACCGCATTGGTATCTGAAAACCCGATATCGCTAGCTGAGAGCCTTTTCTTTTTTGCCGCGTGCAAGACTTTATCTCGCACGGCACGTGACGAGAACCTTACAATGATGTTTGTTTTTGTCCTGTCCTTTGTGGGCACACGATGCACCACGTCAATATCTTTGGGTTTGACGCACATTCCAACTTTGTCTCCTATCTTCTGAACAACTTCCATCAGTGATTCGTTCTGGTTTTGCGGAATCCCCTTAATCTCAAGATTGCTGAGCCTGGTGTATTGCTTCAACTCTGTTAATTCTTTCTGCGTGGTCCCAAGTGATTGTGCCAGTTGCTCTTTTTCCAGTTTTAACGCTGCATGCTCCTTTTTAAGTGCATCTAGTTCCACCTTTGTTGTACGAAGCTCTTCAAAAGTTTCGTTCATGTACGTCATACCTTCTTTTACGTCATCAATATCTTTTCTTAGCCCTGCGTTCAGGTCAGTGACGTATTTAAGCAGTTCTTTGATAGCCGACGGAGGTTTGTCACACATTTCGAACAGCGAGCAATCAAGGTCACGAGCGAAAAGAAAATAAGGAAAGAAGAAAGCAACAGGGTTCAAAACCTACAGACCTGCAAGGTATTGCAAAAGCAATCAGCTTTCCCTTCGATGCGCTCGTGCCCGGATCGCTCGCTGTTGTGGTGCTCTCCGGGGCGCGGCCAGCCACTTTATCGGTGCAGCGCTGGATCGCCGATACCGCGCGCAGGCGCGTGTCTTGTGCATGACGTGGAGATTTGGCCGCTGGTAAAGCAGGCACCCTAAGGGGAGTGCGAATCCTTGCTGCACCTGCCGTTCGGTTGACGCTGCTGGGGCCCACACGACGTTGACGGTCAACTGCAAGGTATTGCAAAAGCAATCAGCTTCCCTTCGATGCGCTCGTGCCCGGATCGCTCGCTGTTGTGGTCAGCTCCCGCTGGCCGCTGTTCAAAACCCGACCTCGCTTGTGCTTCTTGAAGAACCGCTTTGGTGTCGCCGGTAAGGCTGCACCAGGCTGTTTCGTCCAAGAAGAATCAGGGGAATCGCTTTCCGATGTCACCTCAGTGGGATCCATGACGGAAGACAAAGAGAGCGGGGCGCGGTGGTGGTGTCGATGACTTGGGAGGGTGCCGATTTGTCAAAACCCGAAAAGTATAATTATTCTTGTTTTCTATTCATCCAACAAAATAAAGGCACACGTTTCGCGCGCAAAGCCCACAAAACTAAGTAAATCACTAAATATTTATTATTTGCAGGAACTATAAGGTGCTTCGCTTTCCCTCAATCGAAGGCGCTGGAAGACGGTATGTTAGACAGTATCTTGGACAGAAAATGAATTGGGAAGACGGTACATTGGACATGACTTTCTTTCTTTACTAAACAGCTATTTCGTTGGCAAAAACGTATTCTAACTTATTTAAATGTCCTGAATGAATTAAATAAATATTGTAGTAGTTTAAGACAGGTTTCCTGGAGGAAGAAAAAGCAACGTTGCTAGCGAACTACTTTCTCGACGGCGGAGGCACTTCAGATGGGCGCAATGCGCTTGTGGGTGGAGCTAAAAGATTGTTCTCAGGTTGCTTCCGACTTATAGTACGCTAGACCACTCGGCCACTGACCCCCCTCAGTCTTGTTTTCCCAAAGCTTGATGATGTAATTGTGGGATTGAAACCACCCGTCTGACAACAGTCGAGCGCGGCTCATGGATTGGACAGGAGAACTGCGTGAGGGCTCGACTAATACCCCTGTCAGACGGGCTAGTTTAGTGTCACTACAAGCGAGTGCACTTCGCCCTTAGTGTCATTTCTGTAGTGTGCCACACGGCTCCTTCCTGAGGAACACACTTGGCTTGGAGTGAGTTTGACGAACTCACTTCGCTCGATCGAGTGTGTACAATCAAGACACATAATGACATAATGACAAACATAATGACAAAAAAACCAAAAGGGTGGCGTAAGTTTTATTTTATAAAGGAAAAGAAATTCGTGAAAGAGAGGACATGTTGAGGAGTGGCATTGTAAAAAAATAGTGGGGTGGACTTGGAGTTTAGGCTGATCCGAACCAAGATTAGCGCAGCGCGAATCGATAAAAGACGACGACAAAGTCAGTCATTCAACGGCTATCTTGGTTAGCAGAGAATTATGGAGCGTACTTTTGTTTCAGCATGTAACTATTCGAGACAACAGGATAATTATAATCTAATTAGGCAGTTTCAGGGCCTCCTCGTAGACTTCCATAAAACGAAGCGCAACGCCAAAGTTGGATTTGCTTCGTTCTTTATCTTAGCTTGCGATGATCGATCAGAGTCATCCAATTGGCGTAAAAATCGTTCATTAATGTAACGTTCTTTTAGAGCACAGCTCCTGGGATCCCGTTTCTGAGTCGAGCGGCGTCGGCGTAACCACGCGTTGCATTAAGAGCTGTTTCCCAAAATGAAGTCATATGTGACGTCACGTGTGTCATCACATGTGACGTCACGAGGGTAAATTTTTCTCACTAAATTTTGCGGTAAAAGTTTTTGCTAAGTTTGGTGGAAAATGTTTACTAAATTCAGAGGGAAAATTTTACCCTTGTGACGTCACGTGACGTCCCACTTAAAATTTCAGGTGACGTGTCATGTGGCGTCACACATCAATTCAGCGGGAAAATTTCCCGGCTTAATTTAGAAGGAAATTTCGCGAAAGTTTTACGCTAATTGTGGGATGGGAACAGGAGAGAAGGATGGGAGGGTACGGAGGGGGAGCGGCTGCATACCCTCCCCTTCGTACCCTTCTCCCCTCCTCCTGAAGAGCTGCGCTCCAATTCGGCAATACAGAGAATCGTAAACGTCAAATTTTCTTTAACGTGTCTTCATTAAGGGGTATCGGTGGCCGAGTGGGCTAGCGCCCACCAGATCGGAGTACGTGGAGAGAAAGCTCGCGCTGGAGAACCCAGTGATCCTGAGCTCAATCCCCAGCCCTGCCCGAAGAACACACTTCCAATGAAGTGAGTTCGGGGAGCACACTACGCTCGCTCCGGTAGACCAAGTGTGTAATCTCGATAGCAGTGTTCAAGGAGTTAAAATAATAGAAGAAATTAACGCTGCGTAAAATTAGTATTATTTTTATAGGAGTAATATTAGATGCGCACGTGTTTTCTGTTGGCAGGAAAGTAGTGCATTGTATAAAAACAAGCCGCTAATCTAGTTTCCAGCTTTGGCCCCTGCGCGACGGCCAGCGACAGCCAGGAGGCACCTGCAAAACTCCACCAGGAATCGGAAAGTGGCAGGAGAGACGCAAAAGGCTTGCTTGAAGTAGAACTCGCCCATATGGGGCAAGGTGTCTTCGAACCACCGTTCGTTCCTCTGAAAAGTTAACCGTTCTCGACTGATCACGGGTAGGTTGTCGGTCATGAGAGCGGGTATGGTGAAGGCATTGGCCTGCAGCTGCTGGTCGATGTCACTTGAAATTCTTGCCTGTGCGTCGGCATCCAGGTCCAGCTGCCTCTCATCTGAAAGGCGTTGGGCTCTCACGGAGAAAAGTGCCCCAACCACGCGCTTTCACGGTGAAACATCGCGGATATCACCCTCCAGCTCGTCCTCCACACACTCCATGATGTTTCGTTGTGGCGAGTGGCGAGTGGCCGAGTGGACTCGCGCACACTATAGCTCGGGGCACGCGAAGCGAAAGCTCGCACTGCAGAGTCCAGAATCCTGGGTTGAATTCCTACGCCTTCTCGTTTCGATCTGGATGAGCATCGTAGCGGCTTGCGGGCGTGTATCACTGCCTTGTAATGGCTGATCCTAATTATCAAATTGAATTTAAATTTAGATTAAAACTCGTGACTTAGCGCAACAATGTGCAGTAACGTGTTTCTAATAAGACGCCGAAGTTATTTATGAAAAAAAAAATGCGTGTCCACTGTAATATTTTGCGTGCCCATTACTTACCCATCGTCATTGCCATCATTTTGGAGTGACACTACGTTTTCCCGTGTAGCACCAACACACTTGGAGTGTGTTTCGACGGGTTGAAGTGCACTCGCTTGTTGTGACACTAAACTAGCCCGTTTGACAGGGGTATTAGGCTCCTATCAATCAATGCTTCGGCGGAAACTCGTGCTCGTGTCCAACCACTGCGGTGATGAGGATAGCCGAAACCTAACAATGCCTGGAGGTCAGCCGCTCAGCACGCGTTTTGTACTTTGCCAACCCCAGAGTGTGGCTTCGATTAACGTTGGCGGCATTGGATAAGCATCAGGCCACGTGGCCGCTTGTTCTGGATCCAAGTGGAGAGGATGAACGATGCTCATCTTTCTCGAATTTATTTGCCGACTGCCATTGCTTAGAAAGAAAAACTAAAGTCAGCTTATTCGGTTTTTATTGCTGGGAAGTGATTCTGAGTAGTATTTAGCGAAAGTTTAAAAATCAGTTCATGGCCTCGTTAAGGCACGCACGTCACCTTGTTCTTCGCAAGGTGACGTGCAAGGTGACATTGTGGGAACCATGGGGTTCCCCATATCCCTATCTAAATCTAGCTTCAAGCAGGCCGTGGGAGTCGTCGTCAGCAATGGCGTCGGCCTCCCGGATACAAGGAACCACGAGGCCGAATTCCCCGAAGGGGCCGGCTCTCTCTTGTCCATTTTGCGTGAATGTTGCCTGCGGCACACCCTTGGGAGTGATTATGGACTCGTCCCGTTTTCGAGTGACCTTCTCCCGGCCTCCCCGGGCGCGTCCATTTCCCGCAGGCTACATAAGCCGGCCACCACCTGTGGCCGAGGCTCTCGTCGGGGGAGACCCTGGCTCTACGGAGCTCGGTTTTTCTTTCTGGGCGTCCGACTTCCCGTGAATCTGTCTATTGCGGCAGCGCGGGAACCCAACCGGGTGATACGGGCTATTGAGCCAGCGCCCAGACCTTTCCTGTGTAGAGCGAAGCGTGTTGACATTTCAGTCAATAAACACGTCGAAACCGGATTCACTGAGTTGGTGTTGCCTCTCGTCCACCGATGCACAAAAAGGCAGTCAATGAACGGACCCGGCCGTAGCCGCGCAAAAAGGCGGACTACGGAGTCGGTATTTACCTCAATGAGGACCCAGGGGTAAATTTGACAAATCCCACACATCACTAGAAGGAGCCATAGGGGGGCGCATATTTTGGTGGCGCCCTCCTATGGTTCCCCCTTGTGACTTCATTACCTTGCAAACAACAAGTTCGATGGTGTTTGTAATTAGCATGGTGGAAGCTTAAAATCATTGCGCTCTGAAACCAGAACTACAAACAGCGTCGAAATTATGCTTTTGATATTACTCTTATTTCTGTCGATGAGACATCCTTTGCTGACGTCATAGTCAGCAGTCAGCCAATGGCGGCAGGGGGACCACAGCGGCGCTTTCGATCGCGCACGTCGCCAGTAGGGCATGCATGGCATGACTGGAGCGTGAGTGGCGATAGCATTTTTGATTTTCATCCTTTTTTGTTTCTTTTAGCTTTCTCTTTCCGTCGTTGTTTCTTCCTATATTGCTTTTTATTTTTATTTAT